GAGTCAAAAAAAACTTGACCATCACAGATGAGAAAGCAGTATTAGAGCCCTGAAGTCAATGGTGTGCTTGCCATGAATTTTGACTAATTGAGATTTTTACCCTGAGGTTGCTGCCTAATTGCAGATGTGTGGGGATGCTTGATGTCTGTATTTTTTTCTGATTTCCCACCCCTCTCCAGTCTCTTCTATCCCCTGTGGGGAACTTATAATAGGGACTAGAATCACAGTCACTAGTGCAAGCAGACTAGAAGGGGAAGAGAGTATTTTTTCCGAGTGCAGCAATGCATACTTATTCAGAATAATTCAGTCCTACTGAAAACCAGCACTCCATGTCTGTCCCAACCTAAAATTCAGTTGGATGATATAATAGCTTATTGTTTGATGCAAGCACAGACCACTCAGGTAATAACATTTGTAAAATTGAAGGAGATTTTTGTCATTTCTCCATTGAGGTATAAATAGGAGAAAGTTGTAGTTCATTGTCATACACAGATTATGGCATATAAGATAATGTTTATAACCTGTTGTAATATAAATACAACATGATATAAATAATATAAATATTTATGTACATATGAACCCCCCCAAATTATTTGAGTTTCTATTTGTGGGAAAAGCAACCTCCAAATTTTCAATTTTATTTATCTGTTTTTCTTCTTCTTCTAACAAACTGAAAAAAAATGCTGTTTGTTTTTCACTAGCAATTTTGGAGGAAGAAAGGTGAGGCAAAAACCAAGGCAACCTTGAAATACATGTGATGATAGAGAAAAGTTAGAAAGCATCAGGATCCTGAACTGGAGAAGTGTTAGGGAAGCTGATACTATTTTTCATTCATGATCGCAAAAGCTTGTAGCCCATTTTTGGCAGACTTAGGATTTGCTCAAAGATCTTCAGCAAATAAATTATCTATGTTGATAAAAGGAAACATCAAGCAATTCACTGCACTGTGATGACAGGCTTTAGAAAGAAGAAGCACCGTGAAAACTCTGTTTCCAAAAAAATCACCCAATATTCCAGGTACAATGATAGCTTCTTTGAGGTGTTAACTTCATATGACATTCAATGGGGTGGCTTCAGAGTCAATGTGTCAGTTAGGGGCATTACCATGGGCAATAGTACAGGGAACACAACACTCATACCTGTGGAGCTCTAATATCCACTGTTTCTATTTCCTCCTAAGCATAAAAGATGAGAGTTTATGTGCTTCTGACTTCCTGTAGGATCAAAAGGGAATTTTCTTTATTCACTTGATCAGAGGCAAAGCAGACATCTCTGTGAAATATTTCTCATGTTGTCTGTGTCACTGACAGCCATTAATGGAAATGTGATGATTGAGTGGAAATCAGCTGTAACTGATGTTGGTCACTATGTTACTTTGAAAAAATAATAAAAATAATCAGTAAGGGCTAAAAGCCAGGTGAGATGAGCACCTGCATTTCCTCTTGGCTTGAGGTTGGTGGGGACTTTTTTGAAAATTGCACTGTAAAAGGGAGACAAGAGGGATTGTGCCCTAAAAACCACTGCCTCTGAGATTAGCAGAAATGTGGGGTTTTGGTGAGAGCATATCTGAGTAGTGACTCCTCTGTTTCAGCCTGAATTTGTGAACTGCTGGGTACATGCATACTCTGGTGAAGTCAGTCACACAGTTCCTGAAAACCTGAACAGCCGCAGGATTGGGTCCTGGCTTATCGGTTCACTCTAGAGGGGATTTGCTAATGTAATCAGTCCAGTAAGCTCAATTTTGATGCCATTGCATTTTATTTGACACTAAAATAAACCAGCTGTTTACAATTAACATACATAAAAATAATAACATAAAATGCAGCCTGCCCTTCCAACTCAATGCAAAGAGTTCACCAAGTTCTGGTGATTTTCCCTCCCTGTGCTCTAACTAAAACATCCAAACCAATTGATCTTGCTGAAGACCAAACAACAACAACAACAACGTTTATCATTTCCCAAATGTTTCTGATGGGCAGCAGCGACTGGTTAATGGAAGGTAAATGTTTCTCCGGGTGCTTGTGCAAGCAGGGCTCTCACTGCTGCAGAGCTGATCCAAGCACCAAGCTAAAGGGAGGCGAGGGCCGGGCCGTGGCTGTTGCTGTGCTGGGACAGGATGAGGTAGCGAGCTGGTTTCTTACCAGGACTGGGATCCAGGGCAGCTGGCCCACCCTCCCATTGGGAACAGTGAACAAGGAGCTTGTAAAATACACATACCAAATGGAAATGACCCCTATTGACTGAAACCAGCTGCATGTCAGACCTCTCACTGTCTGTCTTGATTTGCTATCTTAAATAAATGGATGTGGTAGAAGGGGCTATGGAAAGAAAACAAAATAATTTATCCTCCTTGAAGTCATGCTACACTAATACGCCACAGTTTTTACAGCTGAAAAAAAAAAAGTTTATTTACAGATTAATTTTTTCCCTCCTTTTATTTTTTTGCTTTGAAAGTCTACAGTTCAGAATAAGACGTGCTGTAGTTCAGTTTCAGAGGTCTTTGACATATATAGCATTGCTAGATTTTGTTAGATATTCATTACATAAAACTGCTGGCTAATGAAAGATTGGGTGGGTTTTTTTTTGTATTTTGGTTCAGAAAACAAAGTTACGACAGCTTTTTTTAGTGCTTTGGCTTAGATCTGCATGGCGGCTCAGCCCCATGAAATAGGTCTTAGCGAGTTTTGAAGAAGAGTGACATGCAGAATGACTTGACTTATTCATGTGTTGTTTTCAATATTTTTCCTAACACACTCTTGGGTAACACCAGTTACTCTGAACATTGTGAAGAGGTGCTTGTAGTAACCAGGGTAGCACTTGAATTTGGAAACATTAAGGATGACAGCTGCTCAAATCCTCCATTTTATACCCAGGATGGATTACTGCTCTTGGTGTTAGATTGGGCTCCGTTCTGACTTTAGAGTTAGGGAAGGAGGTATTTAACCTCACTGCCAGAGTTGCCTCCATCTCTTTTTGAGAACATTGTCAGGTTGTAACACATGCTATAGTGTGGTCATGGTTTGATAGGCTTTCTTAAGGAAACTTCTTAAATGTCATCAGTCTAGTTTTCCTACACACAAACTGAGGCATTGATGTGTTTTGCAAATGGATTTTTTTCTTTAAAGTCTTGTTCAGCCAATTGATCATTAGCGAAATAAGCCACCAAATTTGGATTAATGGATCTATTAGAGTGTCTTGTTGGAATGACCTTCACTGAAGTCTGCAAAAATATGTGGGATACAAAAATTTGAGCATGATACTTTGAATTGACCCTGTTACTTCTTTTTGCCTTCCACAACCTTTTTCTTTTTCTCTAATTTTTTTCTTTCTTTTTCCCCTTAAGAATTTATTTCTTCCTCATTCCCAGGTGCACAAACAAAATAAGGTAGCAGCTTTGAACATAGGATGCTTTACCTGTGGCCTTGCAGTGGAGTTGCCCAGACAAATGTTATTTCAACAGAAAGTAAATTGAATTTCCCACCTACAGGTTATGATTGTCCCGGCAGTCACTGTCTTTGCTTTAAAGATAAAACCAAAATGCCATTCAATCTGGTCATTGCTCCTCCACTGGTAGATTTTGGCAATTTTTTATTGTAGGATCTTCTGTCATCTGTGACCCACAGATGTTGCTATGGAGAAAGGCACACCTCTGTTCCTTGTACCACTGCTGTTTCTTGCTGGCTGTCCTATAGGTGGCATCTCTTATAAGCTATCTGCTATTGATTATATCCTCTGGCTGGATAATGAATTATGAGCTAGTTGATGGGTTATTCAGATCATGCTAGTCTGGTATCAAGTGATACCATGGACCTCCTTCCTCCCATTTTTATCTTACCATTTTTTCATTATTAATTTCTTGCACTACTGAGAGTAAACCAAGCTTAGGCTGACTTCTTAAAAAATGTAAAGAGGTAAAAAGGTCTTGGGTGGCTGCCTGTATAGAATGTTCTATGTTGAGCAAGATGCAGAACCATGGATGCGAAGGATGTTTCCATGGATTTGGAAGAAGCCCTTCTCCTAGCTAGCTGACATCTGTCAGGGCCTACCTTTGGCACACTCTTCTAGGACGCCAGTGATTTCAATAGTCCAACGGTAGGGTGACACCAGTGAGGTGTCTGTATGCCAGTACAGCTCACAGGCTTAGGATGACCCTGTAATTACGCTGAAAGGGAACCCTTTTTTCTCTGTATTTCAGCTACAGCTTTAGTACACAAGCGCCCTATCCTGCAGTCCAAAATGTGGCAGCCCTTCCCACTGCCCTTTGGTGGTGTTCAGGTAAAAGTGAATGAATCCTATTGATATTAAGGAGAGTTTTGCCCTGGTCGGGACTCCAGGGCTCAATCCAGTGACAGTAAAAAACATAAGGAGTACAAAACAGAGAGAGGGATTAGCATGTGATAACAATACAGCAGACATTTGAACTTCTCAGCAAAGAAAGAGGATCAGGTTGAGGCCAACCTCATTATTTTGCTGTCTTTCTCATGAAAGACCAGGTTGAGTGCTAGTGCAATTGCAGAATATTTTTGAGCCTGAATTTGAAAAACACATCAATGCAATACATTTATCAATGAGTCTTTTAAATAGTATCTGCAGTAAAAATAAGAGACGAACTTTGTTTCATCTGTATTTTAATCAGACTTTCCTTTTTAAGAGTTGCAAGAATGCAGTCTTGATGAACTAACACTACTAAGCTGGCCAAAGAGAAAAGGATGGGAGCCAGTTATTTTTCCTTAGCAGCACGGTAGGAAATATGTAACTGCTAAATTTCACTTCAGATGTTTATATCTTTACATATTTACAGTAGAAAACGAGATTAGAGCCCAAGAATATGTTCTTTCTCAAAATGAAATAAGATGCCTTTTATCAAGGGAACACCAAGAAAAAAAATAAAGAGCTCTCAACACAGAACAAGGCACAATTTCTACACTAGTAGAAATCTTACTCTGATTGGTCAGACCATCATGTGTGAATGTTGAATTTTCTGCCTTGTTCTATTCCAGAGACTGAAGGCAGCGCTGACTCATCATCCTGCCACCATGTCGAACGGGAATATGAACACCATGGGCCACATGATGGAAATGATGAGCTCGCGGCAGGACCAGACGCCACACCATCATATGCACTCACATCCTCATCAGCACCAGACGCTGCCACCTCATCACTCATACCCACATCAGCACCAGCATCCGGCGCACCATCCTCATCCTCAGCCTCATCACCAGCAGAATCATCCCCACCACCACTCCCATTCACACCTTCACGCGCACCCGGCACATCACCAGACCTCGCCGCACCCCCCGCTGCACTCAGGTGGACAAGCACAGGTAGACTTTCATGACATGCTGCAATCACTGACTTTTGCTGTTATGTGGAGTTAAAGCCTGATCCCAGTATTGTTTTTTCTTGCACACATGTCTTGTTAGATAAAAGCCCCTCACACTACTCACAAATGTCTGCTATCGGTGGTGGGGAAGCACGAACTTTATTCAGAAAATGGAGTGAAGCAACAACTCGTTTTTTTTATTAGTTTGCTAGACATTTGTAATACCTTACTTAATAAGGAGCTCCAAGGTTTTTCAGTGCCCTGAGCTCTGTAGATTGCCATGTATCTTTTTATGGGTGAGATATATTATGGAGATTAGTATGTTATATATGTTTCGTAATGTGCTTGAACGTAAGCCTCTCGGTCCAAGATTTAAAGAGCTGCATGTGTTCTACCTCTAGAAATACACAGCATTTCACTTTAGTGAAGTAAAATGGCACTGGTGTGTGGGTGTGTGAGGGGGTGCATATGTGTATGTCTGTGTGTTTTCAAGACTGGAGAAAGTAGAGGTAGCTTTAAGGTAAGATACATTGGCTTAGAGGAAAAGAAGAAAGGATCCAGACCTTGTGAAGGGGACTGCAGCCCCCAGCTGCAGAGTATGAGAGAAAGCCAAGATTAGCTGGGAGTGCGGGCAGCAGTTGGTAGATACTGTGACAGGAGAAAAAGATGATGAAGACAGTCCAGGGAGAGAGATTGAAACCAAAAAAGCAATTTTGATTTGGATTCAGGTGATGAGAACTCAGTGAAGATCTCCATTGAATGAGATGAAGGTCTCAATTTTTAAACCAGGTGTATTGACTTAATCAGTTTGGATAATTCAATATCTGAACTGGATGTTTCTTGAACAAATGAACTAGTAAGCACAGACTTAAGCACAGTCATTTTTAGGAGGAATTTTATTAATGTATTAAGATTTCTGCATAGGATCACACAAGAAAAATAAAGCTCTGAGGCCAGTGACGGTGACATGTCAGGTTAAGGGAGCAAATTTAAGGAGGACAAGCAGGCAGTGCATGGAATGAGGACAAAGAGGAGTGCCAGCCCCATAAGTTCAATCTGTGAAGTATTGTGTTGCTTGCAAATACCTTTCAGACAAGCTCTTAGAAAACATTAAAGAAAATGAGAGGATTTGGCTGACATCCCAGTGTCCCACAACATTAACTATTTACTAACATCTAGCTTTATTATTGCAGAGGCTGCAAGCACATGGGATTTCCCTAAAGCATTTGCTAATGTAAAATGAATTGTCAGCTTTAGAGAAACAGTCTAAATAAGAGAACAGCAGACTCCCCTGTGAGAAGATGTCCATAGCTTTCCTAAGTTTAGTTCAGTTTTTACTTTGTGAATTCAATTATTTTCCCATCTGTTAATGAGTTATTTTCCTCGGAGTTGTTTAAAAACTCCAATAAAAAGACATTATCTCATAATAGAGAAACCAAAAGTAACCTGCTGGCTGTCTTGGAGATCCATGAGCAAGTAAGGATGAAGTTCTTCTTAGCAGACTGAGGACCCCATGGATGAGATGGAAGAAGTCACATAACTTCTCTGAGGCTTTTAAACATGGGTAATAGTGCTGACACCTCACTGAGGGGTTGGGAGGATAAACATGTTAATACAGGTGAGGGAGTCAGATACCACGGTGTGGAGCACTGCTGCAAAACATCCTTATTACCACTTCTAACAGGTGAGGAGAAAACAGCTACAGGAGAAAACAAACCTCCTAAGTTTAAGGATATCAGCCAATGAGCCAGTGTGTTACAGCCATCTATAGAATAGAATAGACTAGATTACAGAATAGACTATTTCAGTTGGACGGGACCTACAACGATCGTCTAGTTCAACTGCCTGACCAATTCAAGGCTGACAAGTTAAATCATATTATTAAGGGCATTGTCCAAATGCCTCTTAAACAGGCTTGGGGCCTTGACCACCTCTCCAGGAAGCCTGTTCCAGTGTTCAACTGCCCTCTCAGTAGAGAAATGCTTCCAAATGTCAGTCTAAACCTCCCCTGGCATAGCTTTGAACCATTCCCATGTGTCTTATCACTGGAAACCAGGGAGAAGAGATCAGAACCTCCCTCTCCACTTCTCCTCAAGAAGTTGTAGAGAGCAATGAGGTCACCCCTCAGCCTCCTTTTCTCCAAACTAGACAAGCCCAAAGTCCTTAGCTGCTCCTCACAGGACATGCCTTACAGCCCTTTCACCAGCTTTGTTGCCTTCCTTTGGACACATTAAGCACCTTCACATCCTTCTTAAATGGTGGGCCCCAGAACTGCACCAACACTGAATATAGCGGGATAATCACCTCTCTTGATTGACTGGTTCTGCTGTGTTTGATGCACCCCAGGATGCAGTTTGCCCTCTTGGCTACCAGGGCACACTGCTGGCACACATTGAGCCTGCTGTTGACCAGCACCCCTGGATCCCTTTCTGCAGGGCTGCTCTTCAGCCACTCCTCTCCAAATTTATATTTGTGCCTGGTGTTACTCCATCGTAGGTACAGAATCTGGCATTTTGACTTGTGACATTTCATCCCATTAATCATAGCCCAATGCTTCAATTTATCTAGATCCCTCTGCAAGGCCTCTCATCCCTCAAGAGAGTCAACAGCACCTCCCAGCTTGGTATCATCTGCCAACTTGCTAATGGTGCATTCAACTCTTGCATCCAGAACATTGATAAATGTATTGAACAGAACTGGCCCTAGAACTGAACCCTGAGGAGCACTGCTGGTGACCAGTCACCAGCCAGATGTAGCTCCGTTCACTACAACCCTTTGAGCTCTGCCATTCAGCCAGTTCTTCACCCAATGTACCATGAACCCACTCATCTCACAGATGGACAACGTGTCCAGAAGTATACTGTGAGGAACAGTACCAAATGCCTTACTAAAATCCAGAACGTCTACTTCCACCCCCTTCCTTTCATCCACTAGGCAGGTGACCTTATCATAGAAGGATATCAAATTAGTTAAACATGACTTTCCCTTTGTGAACCCATGTTGACTGCCTGATGATTGCATTATTATTTAAATGCCTTTCAATACTATCCAGTATAGTCTTCTCCAGAATTTTTCCAGGAGTTAAGGTTAGACTAGCAGGTCTTTAGTTCTTTGGGTCTTCCCTCATGCCCTTTTTGTAGATTGGAATAACACTGGTTAGCTTCCAGTTAGCAGGGACCTCCCCAGACTCCCAAGACCATTGGTAGATGATTCAGAGGGGTCCTGCCATAACATCCACCTCTTCCTTTTAATTTATGTGCTACTGAAGACAGGTTTGAGTCATTCCAGTTAGGAACAGCCTCAACTCCTTGTGTTTTGTATTCTCCATTAGCTAGGCACTCCGAAAGATTTGCAGATGGGCAAGAAGAAATATGGGCACCAGGGTATGTGGGCTGACTGGCAGCCACAAAACTATGTCAGATTCATTCCAGTCTCGAGCTGGGCTGCAGCCAGATGAGCTATGCCATGCACAGCATGTCACTGGAGGCAACAGAACCCACCAGGGATCAAGGAGGTCTTCACCTTGTCCATAGGTGTAAGTGTCACCAAGAGGATGGGAATGGAAGGTGGCGGCTGACGAGGCTGAGCAGGACTCCTAGGGTCAGCGGCTTCCCCAGGCAGCAGAGCTCTTGCTGCACGCCTGCTCCCATGGTGTGCAGGCAATAGTGACTTCTGAACAGATGCATTAGCGGGGAGAAAAGAAAGGTTTTCTGAGCAATAACCATATGGTTGTTACTTTCTAAGCTTATCCATAGTCCCCATGGCAATGGCCTCTTTGGGGGTCAGATTGCTCCAGCAGACATTAATTTTATGGTGCATTTTACTAATTATTAACCTCCTTATTCTTCTGAGCCAGATTCTTCCATTCAAAACCACCTGCCAAGTGGCAGTGTGGTCCATGCCACTGTGAGCTGTGTGCTCCCATGCTGAGACTGTTGTTACTCTACACCACACCCTTCTGTAATGTCAGAATTAATTTCATGCTTTTCAGTTACCATTTTGATACACAGGAGCCCAATGAATTATACTTTCCTAGAATGAATGAACAGGTATTAGTTTTGTAGTAACTTGCAAAGAACAGATCAAGGATAAAAGTAGAAATCACCTTCTGATAGGTATTTTTCTGAGAAAGAGAGATATTTTATCAACTTGTAGCTGTGTTGCCTCAGCAACTACAAAAATGACACTATTATTCTTGGGTTGGTCCCATGAAGATTTCATTCATATCAAACTTGCCAGAGTGATAGCTTAAGCAAGAGGAGGGGTTTGGATGCTTCATTTCATTAACTGTCCTACATTTGTCTTCATGTCATTAGCATCCTCTTCAAAAAAAAAAAAACAAACCAAAACCCCTTCAATTTTAATATATGTTCTTTACCCTAGGCAGGGCAGTGAAATCCTGCTAGAGAATGATGCTTAGACAGTTACTAAGACATAACCTAACAGGTTTCAGGGTTAAGAGCTATCTAGTAAGAGTCAGTTAATTATCCCACGTGACATAATTAGTGACGTAATGGCAACCTTTAGAATTAATATCTGCCAGAGACAGAGAGAACATTTTTTTGAAAATGCACTCTGATTGCCCAAAGACTGACTGTTACATTCTGAAGACAAAATTACTCACTCTCTATTCAGGAGAAAATGACCATATGAGGCAAAAGAGAAAAAGGAGAAATCTATAGTTACCTTTTTCTGCCCGTGTAGCAGACCTGACTAGGAGAGTTAAGAAACAAGAAATACTGGATGAAAAGGGAGAGAAATGGGATAAGGAAAGCTTTTAGTGTCCAGAAACGTAAATAGCAAATCCTTTGAAGTCCCAAAAGGTGTTGCATGTGAAAAAATGAAAGGCCTTTGATGAGATGTTGACATTAAAAGGGATCTCTGAGGCCTCTGCACACAGACGCCTTGCTGAAGAGGCAGTGTGCCTGGCCCCATTGGATGGGGAGCAGCTGGCATCTCTCGGCAGCCATCTCCCAGGGGCAGCCTGGGGATGATGGTGGGGACAGGGACAGCAGCGCTGGCTGGTCATCCTGCGTGGCACTGGCAGAACCTCTGCAGCTGCCATAGCCTTGGGACTGCAGCCACCGATGTGGACAGAGGGCTGGAGATTTTACCACCAAACATATGGACTTAATAGAAGCTGAATTTTTAAAAATCAGTCAGAATGTGCAGGGTGGCTTTTTTATTTTTAGGTTACTTTTTTAAAAACATTTTTCTGCTCCTGCAAGAGAGATTATCTGACTGTGCATCATAAAGCTGGGAATAAATCTGGCTTTATGCAAAAAGCATTATCAGATGCACAGAATAATTACACATAAAATTGCCACTTTAATTGACACAAGTCAGCTGGGGGTGGGAGCAAACTCTTCTTCACGGTTTGTGGCGAGATTCTAGACAGAAAAGCAACCTCGCAAGACGATAGTATCATTTTAATTGAGACAGACAGAGGTGTTAGGCAAACACATGTTAATTGCTGCAATTGAAATTCAGGACTCAGTCTGACAAAGTGCTGAGTATGTCCACTCCCTGGAGTCAAAAGGAAGCACCTTGGAGGTTTGGGCCTTTGCCAGAACAAGTGGGTTAATTTTGAGACAACAATTCAGGTTTCCAGACTGTTCCAGACTGTGCTGGAGTGGCAGAAACGTGAGCAAGCAGCAGTAGCTCCCGCTGGGCACAGCAATGGGACCTGTGGGTCGGGCTCCCAAGCCCCAGGCACAGCCCAGAGCCCCATGGCCTGAATGCCATGGAGGGGCAGGAAGGTGATCCAAAAGTTGACTATTCCCAGTTAATTCTGTTGCTGGTTCCTGTCAGGACGTGGGTATGTGTTTCATCGGCCCAGGAGTCAGAGCACAGACTATGTAGCGTTGCCCCCACCACGTGCCTTTTCTGTAATGGCATGGGCCAGTTAACTCTCAGGAGCAGGATCAATACTCTCCTGCACTTGAAAAAGCATAAATCCATATTTTTCCATAGTTCTGTAGCAGCGGGACTGGATGTGGTGTGCCTTTGCTGTCAATGCCAGACTGCTGAACAAAAGGAAGTACATCATCCACAGGGGTCAAATGGAAATGCCTGAGAAGGAGAATATCCTTTCTCTACACAGTGCAGGGATACTGAAATGCAAGTTTGAGTTCAGGTACTAAATCCTTTCTTTTGCACCCGGCTGAGGGGCACCGAGGTCTGCTGGCCTTGTGCAATCCCAGCCCGCAGCTTCCCAGCTCACTCAAGTGCAAAGAGCACTGTGGCTCCCATCTCCAGAGGTGGTAAAGCATGAGACAGAGATGGAGGAGCCTATGAAATAGAAACATCCTGAAATTTTGGAGGAAATTAAAAAAAAAAAAAAAAAGAAAGAAAAAGAGAGACAGAAATAAGGCCTCTACAGTCTTCTGCTTTGATTAAAACAGTTGCTGAGAGAAATTTGACATTTCAGGTTTGAAATAGGTGGTGGCAGAGGAAGTACCTCAGTGAAATGTTTTTAATAACTGTAAGGGGAAAAATATTTTCCCTACTAATATTCAGAGGATCATTTAAAAAAAAAATCTCCCCTTTGACCACGGCAAAGATTTGCCAGCAGCTAATTTCAGTGGCATCTGGGGCAGCCTTTCGACTTGCGCCTGTTGCAGATCATGCTGGCGAGCAGGACAAGTGTCTGAGATTTCCCTTCCCCTCTCAGCATCCCCCTCTGTAACTCTCCCCTTCACCATCCCCTGCCAAACCTCTTCTTCCCCGCCAGGTTTCACCAGCAGCGCAGCAGATGCAGCCCACGCAGACGTTACAGCCGCCACAGCCGACCGGAGGTCGCCGGAGGAGGGGGGTGGACGAAGACCCGGATGAGAGGAGGCGGAAATTTCTGGAAAGGAACCGAGCCGCTGCCACGCGCTGCAGACAGAAGAGGAAGGTCTGGGTGATGTCACTGGAAAAGAAAGCAGAAGAGCTCACCCAGACAAACATGCAGCTTCAGGTGCGAGCCACTGTCTGCGCCCCCGAGGACACAGAGGGGCTCTTTGTGCTCTGAGGGGCTGGTGGTGCCGGCGGGCTCTCGCCACCTTCGGGGCTGCCCCGGCACAGCTGGCTCCAAGCAGGAGCGTGGGCATAATCAAAGTCGATTAATCAAGAAGTGTGTGCTTCAATTAAAGAAATAATTGCATTTTAGTGGGATAAGCCAGGAAAAAGCTGTCCTGGGATTTAGAAGCCTCCACTAGACGGTGCTGTATTTATTTTCTTTTCTTGTCACCGCTTTTTGTGGGGTTTATTTTTGAAAGTGTCATTAATTCAGCTGTAAAAGACTTCTTCAGAGCAGGGCATGTAGCTAAATCCTCATTCAAAGCCAGTGAGATGGGAGCATAAATAGCTCAGTCTACCAGTAAGGAAAAGAATTAAGTGGATGGATGAAAATACCCTGAATTAATAAAATAAAAGCCCTTCTTATGGTGGTGCCTTTCTTACAGTGGACACAGTAGTTGTGCCCCATCCAGAGGTGTGCCTGTGTGCTGCCAAGAGCAGAAAGGCCATCTGTGTAATGGTACTCCCCCAAAACATATGCCCCCAAAATATACTCCCACAAAACACAGAGGTGTGAGCAGCACCCAGGCACTGGCCATAGTGGAGCCGCAGGTGATAGGCTGTAGGTGACAGCAGCCCTGCCACCACGCTGCCCAGCGTGGCAGGCTGCCCTTTACCTCCACAGGTCTGGGCCCCCATCCTGATGCAGCGAGACAGAGTATTTCCTGAGCGCATTAAAACACTGCTTGAAGTATTAGGGTTAGTTCTCTTGTTAGTTTATGTCATCAAATCTGGAAGGGTTGGTTCTCTTGTCAGTTTATGTCATCAAATCTGGAAGCCAAATTGCCTTCAGAAGAAGTTATAAAATAATGTCATGGACAAACGTTGACATAAACCCAGCACACAAGCACCAAGTGCCATTTTTGCTCAATTCTTCTGAAGTTGTGTAGCAGTGTCTGTGTTCTTGAGTTTAAACTTCACAGAAGAGCCTGGTTTAAGCTTTGTGGCAAACCAAACCCTCTCTTTCTTTTCTAGAACGAGGTTTCCATGCTGAAAAATGAGGTAGCACAGCTGAAACAGTTATTGTTAACACATAAAGACTGTCCGATAACAGCTATGCAGAAAGAATCGCAAGGATATCTAAGTAAGTAGCTGGTATGTTTGCACTGTCTCCACACTCCTCACAGGAAAGCAAAGCTTCTAATTCTTCCCTCCAGAACCCATTCTTGGTCATATTCTCACTTGAACCTGTCTTCTCAAACATCATCCGAGCCATCCGATCTCCTGCCCTTATTTATTCAGCCCCGCTCAAAACCAAAAAAGCCCTGGTTGGCACCCCACACAGCAGAGCTAGCCTTCCCCACCCCTCCCTTCGGCAAGGAAGTGCACATGGATGGACGCTCGCTCCCCTGTGGAGGATCCCACTGGAACTCACAGCTCCAAACCTGCAAGAGTCCTCCTGGGCACAGCGCTGCCAGCACCTTAAAATAACTCTCAAAAGGAAAGTTAAAAAGGAAAACATTACAGTCCCCTCCAGCGAAAATGGTACTGTGCTCTGACAGTGGCGCAGACCAGGCGTGGCGCAGGTTTTCAAGGTTTGTCAACTCTTTTTTAACTCTTTATCTTTCATTTTTTTCAAAAAATCTCATCTAAAGGAGATGAATCAATTCTGTCTAGTTGATGCATTTTACAAGTTTGGTAATTTAGGGCCAAATTCTTTGCTTGGCTCTAGAAGAGCTCAGAAGTTCCTTGGGGGTTAATATTTGCTAGATTGTGGCATTCTCTTAAAATAGAGACCATTCCTATCTCCTCTGCATGACTATGCATCTGGCTTTTTAACAGTAGTCAAAGAAAAAAATATATAATTGCATTACATGCCTATCAACTGTTGCTTGAATTAGATTTTCTGTGCTACAGTGCATCGCACTCTAATTTTGATTCCTGATGGAGCAAATAAAGCATTTAAGCATCCAAACTGATTTTATAGACCTTAAGGTATCAGACCTTTTTATCCTGACACTGGTTTCATAATCATTAAGGTCTTGGATTTTTTCAAGGTCCCAGCTCCTGAAGTCAGGTTGATCTCAGAGAAGCTGGCTTACAAAAAAAAAACCCATAAAACAAACAAACAAACAAAAAACCCCCCAAACTTGCAAAAGATGGAAGACAGAGAGTGTTGGATAACTGTGTATTTTGAAATCCTGGGACTTGCACATATCTCAGGTTGTTAGTATTACTGCCGCAGTAGTACGTCCCTTTTCCAGGACTGTCACCCAGCCTGAGCTTGTTACTCGGATGGATAATTGAACATGTGTTGTCTCTATGCCCTCTCCCCCTTCCCAGGTCCCGAGAGCAGTCCTCCCGCGAGCCCGGTCCCAGCTTGCTCCCAGCAGCAGGTCATCCAGCACAACACCATCACGACCTCCTCCTCCGTCAGTGACGTCGTGGGAAGCTCCACTCTCACCCAGCTCGCCAGCCACAGAACAGACATCAACCCCATCCTTTAAAAGTGGTTGATGAGAAACTGCTAGGGGAGTGTGGTAGCGTATCAAAGCGTCTTCTGTGCTAAGGACATTTGCAACCGTAACTCAAGCCTGGAAGATTCCTCAGTTCTTGAAAGACTCTGGCTTTCATTTTTATAGTTATTAAAATGTCTTTTATACTTAGTTACATAAAAGGGAGTTATGCAATTAATATGCTATCAGCTTGAGAAATGCTTTGGTGCTTTCTCCATTTTTTTTGGTACCAGTTACTTGTTTATAAACCTAACTGTTTCTGTACATAGTCATGTTTCCTTCTCACCAATCTAGCCTGAAGCCTCAGAAATACGGAGTTGTGTAAAACTGCAGCTTGTTAGCCAACGTGAGGCATGAAAAGTATTAAACAGAGTCGTATGTAGGTAACTAAGGGTAATTAGGCTATAAATATAGAAAGAGGGCATCTGCTGACAGCATAATAAAAAATTACTTAGCATTGTGCTATCAGCAGACCCTGTCTTGCATTCAGAGCCTCTTTCAAAGTCGTTATGTAGGATGTGGCTATCAGGACAAAATCAAGCCCAGATAATGTGCTCTTTTGTCTAGCCCTCCCACTTCTCGCCTTTCTCCTACCCTGCCCTTTTTCTCCTCCTTTATTCTTACACCTTCCTTTTCCCTTCCCAAACCCTTTTCATCCCTCACCTTTTTTTTCCTTGCTTTTTTCATTCCAAGGCTTTCTTGCTTCCCTCTCTTTTTCTTGAAGAACGGTGATGAACAAGCAAAAACTTCAAACCCACCTAAAAACTGTCAGCACGGCTGCTGCTTTCACTAGCTCTTCACCCACAGCTGGGCTGCACCGAGCATTTGGCTTTTTAAAAATAAAAATACTTCTGATTTAGTGTTTTTAATAAACAGTGAAAGGCGAAAGGAGTGCAGCCCCAGGTGAAGTGGGATTGAGAGCCAGCTGTGTTGATGCTAGCAGCCCTGTAAGCTTCTGTGGTGCGGTACAGGCATAGCGAGCAACACCTGAGAATCATGGCAATTCTTTTGCACTGCCAGTCATTAGCATAGAAAAATCCATGTAGTATATAATAATTCAGAAAAGTTCTGTTCCCTAGCCCGGTTACATTGTTCTAGCACCGAAAGCTGACAGCCTCAGGTTTCACTGCTGTAAATTAGAAATAAATCAGTGTAACGGTTCTGACCAGTTGGAAGAATGCCATTTTTAATTCCTAAGGAAAGACCTGCTCACTGCAGGCATTCCTTTTAGCACCCACAGACTGGTCGCAAGCTGGCAGACAGCCGTGTAGCTTCACTGACTTTAATGGCACTTAACGTCTGTTTACCACGGGTAAAGAACTGTCTCGTTAGGACGCTAAATAATTTTTAGAAGGCGTGCAGCCACTAAAAAGTGCTGTAAGAATGGCAAATCCCACTGCACTCTGGATAAAATTCAGCCCTGCAAAAAGGGTCTGGAAAAGAGCCTTATGCCACAATTCCGGTTTTTCTTTGGACCCTGGGCCTGCCCTTCAGCACAACTGATTTTCATCCCCGAGTGGTACCAGTGGTGGATGGGAAAACCAGACGGAGATGATGCCAGTTAATTACACTGGCTTGCCATATACTGGGACCTGATTTTGCTCTCAAATCTGTCAGCAAGAAAACCTCCCACTGCTTACCCAGGAAACGGGCTCCGAGCTGGTGATAAATGTTCAAACATTTTGAGCTGCAGCTTTAATAGCAAAAGCTAATTTACGTTATTTGCGGCAAATCCGCTAGCCCTGAACAGATTTTGTTCTGAAGGAAAGTTCTCCTCCTCAATGGCTGTGTCTTTGGGTTTTAGAGGAGCTGTGAACTGTGAAAGGGTGGCTCTTCTCCGTGCGGGAGGGAGAGTGAAACAACTGAAGCGTGAGGCGCTGTAAGGAGCAGGGCTTGCCTGGAAGGGAAAGCAAAACTCTGAGGATCATTCATTTCCGAATTAGTTCTTATCTTGGTAACTAACTTCTTATCTTGGTAACTAACTTCTTTAACAGCTCGCTTTCCATTTATGCAAATACATTCAAAAGAAGATTTTTAATGTACAGTGTAAATCTTGACTTGATTATATAGTCTAAGAACCAAAAAAAATTACGAAAAAATACAAATGTAAAGGATTTTCTATTATATTTTAGACAAACATATACTTTTAAAGTGTTTTAAATACTGAATCTATAATTTTTTTTAACCTCCAGTTGTAATAGCTAAATGGTTTTGCTTCATCACAGCTCCCAAGGGAACTTTTTTCAAATATGCAGTCAAGCAAAATGTTCCAGCTGAGTATCCACTATGTAAAAAAATCCAAATAAGCATTTTCCCTGTGTCTGAATTTCATCATTCCCCATGAAAAAGAAGATGCCATTGGAGGGTTAATTTAAAAAACTTTTCTTCTATATGGGTAGCACTTAAATACATTAAAAAAATAAAAATCAAAGCTGTTGGTAATATTAGAATACCCAGTTGAGCTCCACTGCACTAGAATTACAGTTTAGCTTAATTTTATTCCGTCTCCTCAATTAAAATATTTAGCTGTTAAACTGAAAGCCTCTACATTAAAAAGAAAAAAAAAAAGGCAAAAAAAATGCAAAAACCTTCCCTAAGTTTTGTTAAATTCAGCAACTTGACAGTTTGACTGATGTGTATTATATATAGCTCAATTATTTCTTTTTTTAATGCTAACTAGGCAAGCCAACCACACATGTGGGCCTAAATGTGTAATTACAATGCAATGTCTCCTCTCTATACTATTGGCCTTTAGGTATAATCCTTGCTAGTGATGTGGAAATAAGTAAAGGATGAAAAGCTATTTGCTATTGCTTCTTGTAACTCTGTCGCAGGTTCACAGGCCAAGACAACACGCAGCATATTTATATCGGCTAATATCATCAGCAAAAGGACCAACCGTACCAGGCACCTTATATTATTCATCAGCTTCGCTTCCACATTCAAATGTTCTGGTTCTCCAGGGGAGCGATCCTGCAGTCTTTCCTCAAGCTGCGGCTCCAGCCGGGCACTGGAGGCTGCCTGAGCCAGGGCTGCAGGAGAAGCCCCTGCCCTCTGTTCCCGGGATGTCCCTCTGCTGCCCCGTTGGTGGCAGTGGCCTCTTCCTAAGCACGTCGCTCTAAACGCACTTCCTGGGCTCTTTGCATCGAGGAGAAATCCTGGTTTTCCATGAGATACTGCTGGAGACTGCTCCGCTTTCCTCCTGCCCTGCAGACCCAGCCCATTGCCAGGCTCGCCAGGCTCCGCGCCCCGACCTGCTGCCGGCAGACAACTCGGACCGCTTCCCTCGCCCGCTCTCCCGGGCACTCGCAGGGCGATGAGCCTCAGCTGGCGCCGCGTGCAGGAGGAGGTATTTCTGTGGACAGCATCAGAAACATGCTGGAAATCTCAGCCACGGACAACTGCAATACTTTGATCAGAAAGAAAGGATGCTGTGATCCGGTTCCTTCATCCCCGGCTCCCCTTCCCCAAGTCAATTTATGCAAGCCATAGTCATAACGCTGCCTGTGGGAGACAAGTAGTTTGTGTGCTATCATGGTGTGTTTTATAAGGATGATGACGATGATGAAGAGTTATGGAGAATTTCACGCTGCTGGGAGTTAACTCCTGCTACGAAGCTAAATGTCTGCTGCCCATCTCCTGAATAGTGGAAAGTCAATGGTTCAGTGCCTCAGTACGTGTGGATTTAGTGTGTTAACTGACTCTGTCCTGTTAACTAACAAGCCAGCTATAACTTTTGTTAAATGCCCAACTTTTGAGGATTCATATTTTTTTAAGCAACAATATGTAGTGTTGAAAACTAGCCTTTTAGTTTAGGCAAAATGTGCTTTTTAGCAGCTAATACCTTTTTTAAAAAAGAAGCGTATAGAGTGAATTTATGAAAATTCATGAGGACCAAAGCAATTTTAAAACAGGAATCTATTAATTTAGTATTCACATAGAATTTTATAAAGTATTTATTAATAAATGTTATTTTAACACATTCCATTTGAACAGTATTCTTGTACAGAATCTGTTTGGTTTTTTTAAGTTACAATATTAGTTTTGCAATAAACTGCTCTAGGTGTGTGTGCATCTTAATCTTTCAGGGTCTCAAGCAGAAGTCATCCATCTAAGATGGAAAAGTTTGCTGAGGTCAGTTGTACAGAAATTCCTAGAATTAAATGTTTTCCTTAAAGCAGCATCTGCTTTTTTTTTTTTTTTTTTTTTTGTAACAACAAAACAAATTATGAACCTTCAGTTGTTTCCTTTGTATTGGAAAATGTAGTCTCTCATTTAGAAAGCATGGGTCAACATATAACTGGAAAGCCTGTCTTTTTTTTTTCTCTTTTTTTTAAGGCTGATTTTATACAACACCACGGAAGATCTAACCCCATCCTTGTTTCTTTTCTAATATAACATAGTGAGTTGCACTATACTGCCTTATCATTGCCTCTTCTTGTCCTCTTACTAAGCAGTATTCCTTAGATTTAGACCATTGAAACTCCATTATACATCAGAGAAAATTACGGGAGGGGGAAGAAGAGAAAAAGATTGATCTGTAGACATAAAAACTAAACTGTGCCTATAAAACAAAACCAGTTACAACTAATTAGTATCTTATTTCTACATTTCAATTATTTATATTATTTTAAAATTGCACTTTAGCTCTCACTCTCTTTCTTGCTCTCCCTTGTTGAATCATTTATAAATACTCTTGTAAAACATTTGCACCAGATACATTTATATGCTTTCACTGGTGGCATATCTACAACTTGTCTCTCACACCTGCCCGAACGGAGGAGCTGAGAACAGCCAGTCTGCAGTGTGACTTAGACTTTACATCCTCTTCATGACAGCATATAAATGTTTTATTATGCAAAGTGTGTGAGGCAGCATCTAAGCTACATTTATAATCTCTCATCCTGAGAACCAAAGTGTCCTGTATATTGTAAGGTCAGGAGACTGGCTCTGTTGTGCATTGTCATGCACTTTGACTGTTGTCCAACTCACGGTAGCTGCGAAGCTGCAGTGATAACAGTGGCCATACTATGTATTAGAGTTCTGAATCAATAAAATATGTTGCCTTATAACTTGACTAGGGACAGCACCTTTAAAAAAAAATAAGAAAAGAGACTAAAAACTTCTAAGGACAAACAAAAGCAATAAAATCTCAAGTGATTTGAACGAAAAAAAGAGAACCAAACCCATTCCATTTTTCATCATCTGAAATAACCATCTTACTGCAAAGACAAAAGAGACTTTAAGAGGTTTACATCCATAACCTTCTTTTTTTTTTTTTTTTTTTTTTTTTTTCAGAGCTTACAGTTATCTCAGTTTTATCAGTGGCTTACACTTAAGAGCTAAATTGCTTACCATTATTGGTTTTCCATAGCTTTCAAAATGACTTTACAGCAAATCCTAAACTGCATGAGGCCAAAAATGTCAGTGTTCACACACACTCACAGACAAGATTGATTCTCTTAAGTGGAAATCTGATCCTTTCCCAGGCTCTCCTTGGACTGGAATCAATAATCACAACTCGCTATATTTAGAGCAATGTGTAATACCTGGGATTCAGGATCTCCAGTTCTGTATTTATGCAAATTAAATGTTAGTGATGTTGAGTTTCACCTGGTGGAACTGTTCCCAAAGCCCACGGTAAGAATGGCACC